AAGATCCCCCCTTTTCTTAAAAGCCTGAATCTCCAACATTTCAGAATTCAAATTTCCTTTAAACATAGGAAACTGTTTGAGGTGGTCAAAAATAATGCTTGGCTGGGAATCAGTGGTCATCACTTCTAACACCGGCTCTGCCAGAACATTAAGTCCGGGCAGAGATAGCCTCGGTACATTTGTTTGTAAAGAGGGGTCGGAAAAGATAGCAGAACAGCTTCCTTTTCACACTCGGTGTCTCTGCCAACTTTTATTTAGGTCAGATTTCGATCAAAGATCTTATAGAAGTGGTAAATATTGCATGTGCACATCATCTAACCATGGCAGAAACGACCTAAGGCCGGTCAGAGAGAAAGGCTGCCCTGCCTGCTTCTGATAGGAGAAGGAAGCCCCAGGCTCAATGGCCACAGAGCTCGGATGTAGACCCTGCTGCTTCCCAGGTCACCAGGGGTGCGCTGAAGACAGACCCCATTGGTGGGTCAGCCATCGCCTGTCCATCTATCCCTAAGCTCTTGATTCAGGTATTGAGGATGGAATTCTTTCTGGAGGCTGTCAGCTAGTGCCACCAAGAGGCCAAATGCTGTCCTTAGTATAGCCAGGAGATTTCGGAAAGCAAAAGGAAAAGAAAGAAAAAAAAGGGGTGGTGAGGGAGGGGATTTGCCTCTATTTCCACAATATTATATTTACACATACAGGAACATATTATACATATACACATGTATAAACAATAAACGTGAATTTATGAGTATATATATATATATATATATGTCACTTGGAGTGGGATCAGACAATAATTGACTGTAGAATGACTCCATATTTAGCTAGGAAGGAGTTTCCCACTGGTAAAACTTGGGTAAAAGTAACGGCCTAACATCAGAGCAGCTGTTCAAAAGTGGTAGACTTGATCCGATCCCAGAATGGCAAACTCCGACGGTCTGTGGAAACTGGCTCTTTTCGCCTAGAAGTGAAGGACCTTGTTCTACTTTGGGGCGTGTTAAGTCCTGAAGGTCTGGGACCCTCTCTGCACATCCTTCCTCCTCTGGGGAGCACAGCTCAGGGAAGGCGAGAGCAGAGTCAATGATTTTTTCAGAAGCCAATGAACTCAGCTAATTCTAGCCTAGCGTCAAGAAAGCCCAGGTTCCCTTTAGCAAAACAACGACAACAAATATACAGCCTCTGGCTCTAATCAGCTCCCGGAACCAGATAAATCATTGTTGCTGAATCCATGGTTACCACCCGCGCTCTCCCCTTCCCGCACCCGGGAAACAGCGCATTTTTAAAGGCACACTGCCCTCCAGTGGTACAAGATAGACTTGCTTCGTGGCTAGAAGCCCAACACCAAACTTCAACTTGACTTTTCCTTTGGCCCCGGGTATGGTGTGGTGTACCCCACCAGCGTGGAATTTCCTACCGGGCGGGAAACGCGACTACAGTGTGGGCGAATCGGCAATAAGAGAGGAACCGACCTGGCTAGAAACGCAGTCCCTGGCTGGTGCTGGCTGGACCTCCTAGGCCTGAGATTCCCACGTTTTTTCTCGTAGGATTGTGACATGGACAAGCAAGAGTAAGATTGGGCAGAAGTTAACTTGTGAAATGCACGGAGCACCTGCTGTATAAAGTAGCCCAAGCGCACAGGGGAAAGGGAAGGGACGGCCTTCGCCCCAGGAGGTGGCAGGTAGTAAGGACATAGACTGGGTGCGTGAGACCTGTCTGTCACCCTTGTGGGGTCTTAAGCCAGCTCCTGGGGAGACCACAGCATCCAACATTCGCTGTGCCAGGCTCCTGCAGATGTTATACTATCCAGTCTTCCCTGTCACTCCCCTTGATGGTGCCAATGTCATCCCACTTTGAGGATGAGGACAGCGAGGCTCAGAGAGGCGATGAGACCTGACCGTGACCGCACAGGGTCTGGACCAAAGCTGGAGTTTCCAGCACTGCTCTCGGACCCCGGGCACGAGGCCAGGACTTGGCAGCGGAAACCTTCGGTGGCGTGGGTGCCCAGGGCTGGGCGAGCGCGACAGGGCGGTGGGCGTCCCGCTGGCTCACCTTGACGATGAGCGGGTTCTGAAACATGGAGTCCCGGACGACCCCCAGCCTCTCGTTCTCCATTCCCGGGCGGATGTCGGCCACCGTCAGGGGCCGCCGAGGGGGCGGGCAGATCTGGCTGACCGTGCGGCGCGCTGGCTGCTTCTTCTTCTTCCATCGGATGGGGTCCTGACGGGAACTCTCGGTCTCCGACATCCTGGAGGTCGCGGGGAGTCTGCCCTCCCGCAGGACGGCGAATCCTGGCCACGTCGTAGGACCGCCCCCCCCCCCACGACAGAGCGTTCCGAGCCGCACCACAGGGACCGGGGGGGACACGGATGCTGGGCCACCTCCCGAGCTAAGCGCGCGCACTTCGCAACACCTTTTTGCTGTAAGGAGCCTCAGAAAGATGCATAAGTCTTGCTAGTTTCTCAGAGTGTGTTTCAGGCACCGTACTGCAGATTGGGAGAAGAAAGAAAATCAAGACCACCCCTTGAGGAGGAATGGAACGGCCCGTCTCCATGACGACGAGACGCCAACAGAGCCAAAGCAGTGCGCTTGGTTTTCTTTTCTCAAACTATTGGCCGCCACTAAGACAAATCTTTTTGAATATTCTTAAATTGACACAGAAAAACTCAAGAATCATTAACTAGGAGCCCTAGAGGACCATTTGCACTTGACCTCGAAAGTCAAAGTTACACTCTCTCACCTACCCTACTCATGATTCCTCCCAATCTCTGCTCCCCGCGCTGCACACTACATCGGGATATGGCGCTAAAATTTTCCCCATGAAATAGAAACCCGCGTTCCCGGGCGGATGTTACTGCTAATCCTCTGGTGATCTCAAGTCAGTCGCCCTCTTGGATCTTTTCTTTTTACTTCTGTGAAGTGGGCGAGAAGTCTGTGGGTTAGATTAATGGTGATCAACTTTGCCTAACAGAATGGAGAGGATCTCTCTCGGGTGATTCACTTAGACAGAATATCTGGGAATGTCTTCTGGGACTCTGCATTCTAAAAAGTCCCCAGTCCCACACCCTAAAAAGTTCAAATCTACAAAAAAGTTGAAAGTTGGGAGAAAAGTACAAAGAAACCCCATAAAAGACTTCACCTAGATTTCCTTGCATTTAAGCCACCACACACTGCTAAGTCATTTGAAAACACCTTAAACAATATATCTGCCCCTAAAAATGTCATCATGTATTAAGGACATTTGTGTACATGTTTACAATGTCCCTATCATGTCCAAGGATTTTAATGTGGTGCAATAATATATCTAATATGCAGTTCATATGCAAAATTGTGAATCTGCATTCTTAAAAAGCTTCCCAGGTGATTGGCGCAGTGTTTTTGGAACTAGCCTGGTTGATCTCTAATCTCCCTGTTCCAGCCTTTTGTGGGTTCATTCATCCTTCTTTAGCATCTTCATTAAACGTCAAATATCTGTATGCAAGGCTCTGGATCACCACAGAGCAAGTTTCACTGACAACCAATATGGACTCCAAGGCTTTACATACCAACAGTGGACGACAGACACCAACTCCATGTTAACAGAACAGACCACATAGACTTCCAACTGCTCACCCAATGCCTGGAGAAGCCCTGTGTGCAACGTGTGTGTGTGCTTTTTTCATCCATACTTTCACCGAAGTATGGGTTGTGCATTTTTTTCTTTTTTGGCAGTACTGGGGTTTGAGTTCAGGGTCTTGCACTTGCTATGCAGGTGCTCTGTTATTTGAACCATTCCCCAGCCCAGTTTGTGTACCTTTTAATCAGATTTGTTTTGCAATTCACACAGAGAAAGTCCCAGGTGGAGTGGTGGAAAGAGCACAGGTTGGAATCCCAGGCAGTGAGTCACTTTGAACAAGTTACCATAAGCCTTAGTTTTCTTATAACAAGATGTGATCAATACAATACTGCCTCATAAAGATACCCACAACACAGGGTTGTTGTAAGATTAAATGAGAAAACTTGATGCCTATGTGGCTATGTTCACTATGCAAAAGAAAACTGCAAGTTTGGGTGGTATATATAATGACCTTAATTTAATGACCTGATTAAAGCTTTACTTTTAGTCATAAGCTAAGTTTCTTCAGGATTCTATTGGTCACTTTTTTTTGGGGGGGGGCAATGCTGAAGATTAAACCCAAGGCCTCTGACATGAGCAGCACTGTACCACTGAGTTACACCTCCAGCCCAGGATTCTGCTGAAATGAGAGGGTTGGCATAGCTCTCCAGGGTTCTTTCTAGCTCTGGCCTTTAGAGACTTCTCCCAGCTTCATGTGTACCAGATCTTGCTCCAGCTAGCCCCCATCACTCTCTCCTTCATTAACTATGCTCCAGCTGCCTTGTCTCCCTTTCATTTCCTTTAGAAAGCAAGTTCAGGGTCTTTGCACTTATTTTCACCCTGGAACATTCTTCCACCTAGATTTTTGCTTGCCTTTTTCATTTAGAACTTAGCTCAAATTTCACCCTTCAAAGAGCCTTCCCTTCCGTGTAAAGTAGCATCCACTGTCCCCAGTCACTCTACCACATTACTCTGTATTATTTTCCTTATAGGATAATCTGAAATTATCTTGGCTGATTTGCTTATCTGTCTTGCCTTGGTTGTTCACTCCTGGACCACAGATGGAGCGCAGCAAAAGCTTGCTAAATAAACTAAATGCTTGTGTGAGTCAACAAAGCAGTGGAAGAATTCCGTCCTACATCCTTAAGTTCGTTTTTTTGTTTTTTATGGCGGCATTGGGGTTGGAACTGAAGACTTTAATGTTTGCTGCGCAGGAGACCTACCGTTTGAGCCATTTCCCCAGCTGCTGCTTTCTTAGTTTTAAAGGGACCTTTAACTTACTCCATCCCCTAAAACTCCCAGAAGCACATAGGCAAGCAACTACGCATGCGTCAGGTCAAGAAGCCCGCTGTGTTGCTATGGCAGCGTTACGCTAATGGACGGAAGTGACACACGACTATTTCCGCTTCGCCAACGGCAAAGCTTCCGGGTTGGGAGAAAGGTGGCGACGTTTCAAAGGGTAGGTTGAAAGTGTTTTATTAGTTGTTTCAGGTTCTTTTTGAACCTTTTGCTCGTGTCTGAGTCAAGCGGGGGGAGTTGGGTGGGTGGTTGCCTTCATTTTCTGGGAGACCTGCGTTTGGCCTCGAGGCCTCCAGGACTGCAGTTGGCGCCTCCGTCCGCTGCCGCCCCCGCCTCCACGCGGGAACCGAAGCGTGGGTCTCTGGGAATGATGTTCAGTTCTTCTCCTCCTGGCTCCGGGGCCAGGCTCGAGCGCTGGCCTTACAGGGAGCGAAGTGTACGCCCGAAAGACGGGATAAGTGCGTTTCCGATCCTCGGATGGGGACCGAGCACTGGGGGAACCTTTTTGCAGCAAGACCGACAGGAGCCCGGTCGTAAGAGGCCGAGCGCATCGCAGCAGCAGCCCTAGCGATAGGGAAGCGGCTGCGTTGTTGGGAAACTACAGGCACAGAGGGAGTGGGACCCAGTGAAAGAATTCCCGAGGTCCTCCCGAGAAAGTGACTTTTATACTTAGGCCAATTGGGAGGTAGAAAGGCAGCGCTTTTGCAAAGTTCTTGAGAGGAATAAGAACTGAAGGTGTTCTAGGAACTGAAAGGCCAGACATCGTGAGAGTGGTGTTAGGAAAACGCCGCACATCGCACACAAAGGAGGCTCAGGAGAGGTTTCTCATGTCCAGAAGTTTAATAAGCAGGCCGGTTGGCCGAGAGAAAATGGCGCAGCAGCTTCTCTCGGCGGGTCTGGCCTTAAGTAGCATTTGGAGAAAGCAAGGGCAAGGGATGGACAAAGAGGTGGTGGGGAGATAAGAGACAGTGGTCTTTGATCTGCAAAGGATGAGACCAGCTGAGGGAGCAAGGTCTAGGGGCAGGCAAAGGGAGGTGGCGGGAGATAAAGGCCAGTGAGCTTTGATCTGCCGCAGCTTAGGCTGCAGAAGGGGCAGTTCTTATCAGTGGGCATGAACTAGACCAAATCATGAAGAATTGAAGAGCCTTGTAGGTCTGTAGGATTTTTACTTTGCCTTTTTTTTTGTGGGGTGGGGGGCAGTACTGGAGTTTGAAATCAGGGCCTCACGGTCCGCTAGGCAGGGACTCTACCCTTTGAGCCACACCCCCAGCCCCTACTTTGCATTAAGAATACCGTGAAACCTGGCATGGTGGTGCATCACCTCTCGGGATGCTGAGGCAGGAGGATCATGAGTTCCAGGCCAACCTTGGTTACATAAGACTGTGGAGAGAGAGAGAGCAAGAACGAGAAAGAGAAGAACCATTAAAAGCTTTTAGCTGAGCCCAGCGCCAGTGGCTCATTTCTGTAATCCTAGCCACTCAGGAGGCAGAGATCCTTATCTCAAAAATACCCAATACAAAAAAAGGCTGGATGAGGCTCCAGGTATAGTGTGCTTGCCTAGTAAGCATGAGGTCCTGAGTCAAATCATCAGTACAAAAGGTTCCACTGAGCTGGAGAGACCAGTTTAAGAAGTGTTTACAGAAAAGAAAGAAGGAAAGAAACTGACAAAAGAAAGGTAGGCTATTTAAAGGAATCACCTGCTCTGTTCATTGTTACTAAAAAGGTCCTTAAATATGGGCCTGAACTGTGTCTATTGAGTTTAGTGGTTTTGAAGTTGTAGGCATTCTAACTGAAGCAGTCTCAAGGTGACTGGGGTGGAGCTGCAAACGTGCTAGAAGTGGATAGATATTGGGGAGGTGGAAGCAAGAGATTCACGTTCTATGCCAGCAGACCCTGTGTTCACCTGCTGCGAGTGAGAGAGAAGAATTGCACTTAGAAGTTCATAGAGGGGCTGGCAGAGTGACTCAAATGGTAGAGCACCTGCTCAGCAAGCATGAAGCCCTGAGTTCAACCTCCCCTGCCCCCCCTCGCCAAAAAAAGAAGTAGTAGTTCATGGCAGTGGAGGAAGTTTGAAATAATTATTTCAAGAAGAGTCCGAGAGTGAACTGTCTGGAACAATGCTGTCTAGAGAAATAGGACACAAATGTAAAATTTTCATTAATGTAAAACAAATTTGCTAATTTTAAATTAATAAATTTTTACAATACATAATTTAAAATTTGCTGGTAGCTACATTAAAAAACTTTCAAAGGAAGAGGTGGAATTAGAAATTTATTTCACTTAACCCACTATCCAAACTGTTATTCCAACATTAAGTCAGCATATAAAAGATACTAGCCAGTTGTGGTGACACATGCCTGCAATCCCAGCACTTGGGAGAATGAGAAGAATTGAGAATTTGAGACCACCTTGGGCTACATAGAGAGACCCTGTCTACAAAAAAAAGAATAAAAATTTAGATATTTTACTTGTATTCTAAGTCTTCAAAATCCAGTGTGTGTTTAACAGGGCACAGTATGACTACCAGCCACCATGAAACAGCACAGATCTAGAGAAACAGCTTAGTTGCTGGCCACATGCAGGTCCCAGCTGTAGTCAGGAACCAAGTGTTTAGAGTGGTGCCTATTTGCCCAGGTGTGAGTTTTTTCTCCATCTATTCTCAGTAACCCAAGGGTAGCCAAAGAGAAGGTATTAATTCATGCAGAAAATATTGAGCTCCTCCTGTGAGCCAGGAACTGTGCTTGATGCTGGGGCTACAGTGGTGCATACCACAAAGTCTTGCAGGACCCTCCCTGAATAGCAGTCAACTGCCAGCACTCATTCGTGCTGTAGCCCAGACCTCAGAGAGGTTAAGGACTGGCCACCTGAGTCTGTGTGGTAGTGCCCAGCTGGGAAACATCAGGAAGAAAGCTGAGGGACCTGCCTTATATACAATGTTCTTTTTTATCCCTGCCTTCCAGCCACACAGTTCTTAAAGCTGCTGTTGGCTACCCAGTATAAATTAGATGCCTTCTTTCAGGCTAGAAAGCCCAGAGATGCCAAGAATAGCTCCAGGCTTTGTTAGTGAAAACAGCAACTACAGATCAGATAGGTGCTAAGGAGAGGAAATAAGAGTAGACTTTCAAATTGTGAACCACATAAACGTATCACTTAGTTAAGGATAAACAGAATCTCAGAGTTGGAACTTAGAAGCAATACAGAGCAAGCAGAGGAATATGAAGTACTTGCAGAGTTATATTTTAACCATCTCTTTGGTAAAGTACATATCTGTTACTATATTATTTACTTACTTAATTATTTATGTGGTACTGGAGATTGGGCCCAGGGCCTTTCCCATGCTAGGCAAGTGCTCTACCACAAGCCACATCCAAGCCCTTCTGTTACTGTACTTAAATTCCAAAATATATGTGCCTTGTATATATATGTGCCTTTGCAGATATATTCCAATAAATGGACTTTTCACTCTGTTGGGGACTCTGGCAAAGTGTGTCCACCTTCTTGTACAAAGAGCTGAGCTCCCTGCCTGTGGTCTGTGGATATTTGGTGTCCCCACAGTGAAGTGCACTTTGGAGCTGGCCTGCTAATGCAGGTCTGGGACATGGCTGCTAGGTGGTGGCAATACAGAGAGGGACAAGACATACAATCTGCCTTTCTTTCCCTATAGAAGACAGACATTAAACATTCAGTTCAATAATTGTTTATTTTTAAATTACAGTTGGGATAATTGCTAAAAAATGGAATCAAAGTTTGCTGTAAAAGTTTGTCATTTGAGCCAGGAACTGGTGACTCACTCACTTGAGAGTCTGAGATCAAGAGGGCTGTGGTTTGAGGTCTGCCTAGGCAAAAAGTTAATGAGACCCCCATCTCAACCAGTATCTGGGTGTAGTGGAGCAAGCCTGTCATCAGCAGCCTACAGGAGAGGCTGAGTTGGGGAAGGATTGTGGCTCTAGGCCAGCCCAGAAAAAAAGTTTGAGAGACTCCATCTCAACAGAAAAAAGGTGGTCGTGATGCACATGCCTGTCATCCTAGAACAACAGGTAGCATAAAATAGGAGGATTGCCTTCCAGGCTGTCCTGGGCATAAAGTGAGACTATCTCCAAAATAACCAAAGGACAAAAAGGGCTGGTGGTGTGACTCAAGTAGTAAAGCACCTGTCATGCAAGTGGGAAGCCCTGAATTCAAACCCTAGTATCACAAAAAAAAAGAAAGAAAAAAAAAAGAATACCATTTGAGCGGGGCATCGGTGGCTCACGCCTGTAATCTTAGCTACTCAGTAGGCAGAGATGAGGAGGATCATGGTTCAAAGCCAGCCTGGGCAAATAGCTTGCGAGACCCTATCTGTAAAATACCTATCACAAAAAAAGGGCTGGTAGAGTGGCTCAGGTCAATCCCTAGTACTGTTAAAAAAAAAAAAAAAATACCATTTGGAGAATGAGCCCAGCCCAAGGCAGCAGGGAAAATTTTTTTGAAGAAGTTATCACCCAGCCAAGTACTGCAGGACGGCAAGAAGTCAGAGGCAGGAGGGTAGGAAGCAGCAGAGGTCATTCCAAGGAAAGCCAAGGAGAGGATGAGGGCATGTTTGAAGAACCCAAGCAAGATGTGTGTGGCTGGAGCCCAGCTAGCAAGGAGAGAGGTCAGAGACAAGGCTGTGAGGGGTGCAGGGCACTGTTGCTATCTGTGAAAGTCTTTTCCCCCTACATCATAAAGGTAATGGGACTAGGCAGAGTAGATTATAGTGTATATTTTGAATAATATGTTACGGAATTTATAGTTAAGACTCCAGGCTTGTCATTTGTCTTACAGTGTTTACAGTGATTTCTTCTCTCCCAAGGCTAATGTTTAAAATGTGAAAATAAACAACCGTTGTCACGGTTCCCTAAAGGAATAGAATGGAAGGAGAATCAAGCAGATTTGAAATCCATACTCCAAGTTTTGACAAGAAAAAGAAAAAGTATTCTGTATATAAGGAAAGACCCCGAAAACGTGCCCAGGGATATTTCAGAGACTCCTCCTCAGCAGGTGACCAGCCTTACGTAACTAAGAAGAAGAAGAGGAGGAAAGATTTCCAGCATCTCACCTCTCCTGTGGAAAAATCAGAACTCTGCGATGAAACTGAAAAGGCGAACTCTACGCACAAAAAGAAGAAAAAGAGGAGAGATGTTGTTTGGGGAGTAGATGAGGAAACAGGCGTTGTACACGTCCTTGTAGATAAAGAAAACATTGAGAACATGTCAAAGAATTTTACAAAAGATGTGGATGTTGTTTATGTTGCCGTGAGCAAGGAACCAAAATCAGAAAAAGTAGGCAAAGCAGATAAACTGTGTACAGTTGCTAAGTCATGTCAAAATGAGTCAGAAGAACTGCATAACGAAAATAGGGGAGAAAAGAAAAACCGTCCAAGGACAATTGCATCCTGGGATGTCACACAGGAAAGCCAGGAGGCAAGCATTGCCCCTCCCCAATCAGAATCGCACATCCAACAGTCCTTGCCTTCTGTGGATCTCAAAGGTGAAGTGACAGAACTACTAGTGTCTGCTGGTAAAAACAAGTCTAAGAAAAAAAGGAAAAAACTGTCAGATAACCCAGAATTGGAGACATTAGCTATGCCTGAGAGTTTTGGTCACACATGTCTTGAAGGGTCACAGGTGGTTAGAAAGGTTGGTGGGACTGGAGAAGGAGGCGATGTACTTAAAAGGGTCAAGGGATCCAACAGGAAAAAGAAGTCTAAGAAAAGGAAACGTGTGTCTGCCGAAAACGCAGTAGCAACTGGTGATGGTGTTTCAGAGCTTGATAAGAACACTGAGCACACACTTTCTGACTCACTGGAAAGCAAGGATGGTACCATGATGGAAGAAAGTGTGAACCCCAGGCTGCAGAAGGAGAGGACCCAGGCCTCCCAGGCTTGTTCAGGAGAGAGGTGTGTGGAAGAAGTGCAGAGGTAACGTGCAAATGGGGTGCCTTCTGTTGGGTGGTATGTATTGTGTGGATTCTGCCTGTGGCCTCTTTACTCAGCATGTATATAACTAAATGACAGAAATCATAGACGGACTGTCCACATGCAGTCATGTGGACATTGAATTGAGCAAACTGGGCAGGTAGCTTCATTTCTTCATGAATAAAACAAGGTACTTAGATTTTCATTGAGAGCTACTCCAGCCCTTAAAGTATGAGTAAGTTTAAAAGACATTTTAAGACCCCCATAGTCTCTTAATTTGTCTACGTGCATATATATAGAAGTAAGAAGGATTAGATGTATTACAATTCCACAGAGCAGAAAAAAGAACTTGAGTTAGGATTCTCACTAACGTAAAGGAATTTATTATTATATAAGTATATATGTTATACAATCTGATGACTTAATACAAGGATTCCCCCCACATACTTTATCTCATAGTTCTTGGAACTCAGGACAGATTTTCTTCCCATTTTTGTTCAGTGACTTTCTTACATTTCTTAGACTTAAAATAGTTTTCCATGAAAGTAAATGAAGGGACCATGTCAGGTGGTATTGACAGTAGTTTTGGCTCACTCACATTGTCCTCTGTGCTGTGGTATTGGAGACATTTTCAGAACACTGATCACAAGGCAGGAATATGCTGGGACTGTGGTTCTTGACTTTCATTGGGCTCTTTGCCTAGACAAATGCAGGGTGTCTTTTTAGTTACCAGTCTGAGAAGCTCACTGATGCCTGAATCTGAACTGTGGCAGAGAACGCAGGGAGGAAGTGAGGGAGATGCATAAAACACTAAGCAAAGGGGAATGAGGCCTTCTGTAGCTGTAGCCAAAACAGCTGTAACTACCTAAACCCTAAACACTGATTTGGCTAATTCGTGACTTACGTTTTAAAACTTAACTCATTGGAAGGGTGGGGAGGTGTCTGATTCTCTGTGGGGATAAAAGAGGTCTTCACTTATTAGAAGGTCAGTATCTAAAACCCAAAAAGATGACAAACTGTAAGCTAATAATATCTGGTGGTAATAGGACTTAGCTTCTAGACCACCTCAGGACACGTGCACAAACCCACAAGTAAATTGCGTTACGTTAAAGGGTTTGAAAACCACAGACAGAAACCACACCAAGGTCCCGTCCAGCTTGAGCGCGCCCGTAGACTGTGAGTCATTTAGGAAGGATTAAAGGCTATCAGGTCAAGGGATGATCAATGCTAGCCCAGTTTCCCCTTAGGTTAGAACCTACAAACGAAGAAGAAGGCAATTTGGAATCTGCTGGAGATTCTGAAACAAGACCCTTCTCTGAGGACTGGAGGGATTCTGAGGACTCCGAGGTGGATTTGGACTTTGCCGTGAAGCAGCTCCAAGAGTTCATTCCTGATATAAGGGAAAGGGCGCCCACCACCATTAAGCGGATGTATCGGGATGACCTGGGGCGCTTTAAGGAGTTTAAAGCGCAAGGTGAGCTGTGGCAGGTGCCTTAAGTGGTGCTGCACTTCCCTGTGTGTAGAGCGGACAACTGACTGCTTTTATGCGTGACTGACTGACAGATTCACAGGGAGCTCAGCTTTCTGTCCTTCCAGAGTTGTCTGTTCTGTGAAGTTAACAAAATGAAGTACCTGGTTTTCCTCCTCTTGCACTGCTTCTGTTAGAAGAGGCGAGGAAGAATGGGGCCAAGGGACCAGAGAGTCCCCACACTGGGAACAAATCCTGGGAGAAAAGGTTGAGACACTAGCAAGGATACCGAAGCAAAATAAAATTAGAGCACTTAATGAATATTAACTGTGGATGAGTGTAGCTTCTTTCCTCAACATGCCAATGTGAGGGCAAGCTGGTTGACGTGGCATGGGCTCGAGTGAGACCAGCTTGCTCTCTCTTTCACTGTGTTACGAGGACCTCTCAGAAAATTTACCAGATTTAAGAATAAGCTACAAATCTAAGGCTGTGTACTACACATAAGCAGCATTTACTGAATTTCTTTTGTGTGAAGCCAAATCCACTGGTCATTGATAAAGTAAAAAGGAGCTGGGTACCTATGGCTTACACCTGTAATCCTAGCTACTCGGTAAGCAGAGATCAGGAGGATCAAGGTTCAAAGCCAGCCTGGGCAAAATAGTTTTTGAGACCCTATCTCAAAAAAACCCATCACAAAAAATGGCTGGTGTAGGCCTACACTCAAGGTATAGGCCCTGAGTTCAAGCCCCAGCACTGCCAAAAAAGAAAAAATAAAAAGTGACCATCAGCTTACAGAGCTGATCAATTTGAAGAGATCAGTTCAGAAACATAGTGTAAGTACTCCCCCACCCCTTTAAGAAAAAGCACTTGTGCACACCATTTATAGAGCAGTATTTAAGGATATTCTGTGTTAAAATTTTTAGTTATATATTTCATGAATAGTATTTTTAGAATAAATCTAAAAAGAATGAAAAACTGTTTCAATCTCCAGTAGAGGAAAAAAAAAAGAGAGAGCCAGAGCAAGAGAGAAATATACTATGTAACGTAGTTAATAAAAAAGCAAGCAAGAAAATATACTTTGTAACACAGTTAATCCCTGATGAGTGCTTCACAGAATGCATAGGAAGCAAATGTAAAGTGCACTGGCATTTGTCGCCCCGCCCCCAACATATTCACATAGAACATCTGCATTCTGTCCGCTTACGCCAGCCACGCAGAACACTGCCTGCAGGAAGTCACACAGCACAGGTTGGAAGAGCAACTTTAGCTTTTCTCCCAGTACTGTCTGGATTTTAATTGAATATGGGTTTTTCTTAATATAAACAGCTTTTAAAAACAGCTGAAGCAGGAAAAGTCAGTGTGTAGTAGGAGGACTGGGCAAAGAGGTGTGCTTAGGCTGACGAAAGAAAGGTGGATCTCGCAGAGTGGGGAACGTCAGGTGCACCATCAGGGAGTCACTGGCTAGTCTGCTGCTCTGGAGCTTTGGAAACAGTATGCTTTTATTCATTATTGACAATACTACTTTCGCTCCTCAATCCTAGGTGTTGCTATTAGATTTGGCAAGTTTTCTGTGAAGGAGAATAAGCAGATAGAGGAAAATGTGCAAGAATTCCTATCCCTGACAGGCATTGAGAATGCGGACAAGCTGCTGTACACAGACAGATATCCAGAAGAAAAGACTACGATCACCAATTTAAAGAGAAAATATGCATTCAGAGTGCACATTGGTATGTTTAGAAGTGTTTTCCTTTTGACTACCCAAAGCCTTCCAACCTTAATCGAGATCCCCCTTGGTGAGTAAGTATTGTGCATGGTGCCTGACCTTCCTGTGCCTGCAATGCCTGGCTCCTGCTTCTGTGGTTATTAGATCCTTATTGGACCAGTTCGTGTCTTCCATGTCTGAAGGACTTTGAGTGGGATTCCTCCTTGTGGGGTGCTTCTGGGAAAGTTAGGTCATGAAGGTAGGTAATAATGGATCCGAGTGGAAGAAACCTCTTGAATTTAAAGAGGGTAATTTCACAGGTGTACTCTGGAATGCATGAAGGAACAAGATGGTGAGCCCTGTCAAGAATTATTTCTTCTATACAGTGGGGCAGTGAGAAAAGCGTAGTTTGGAAAGATTTTTGTGCACCTCTCTGTTGGCATACAACCCTCATCTTAGTGCTCCCTTTCTTGTAATTGGAATTATGTTAAGCTTACTTTGCTTGGAAGGGTCTTTTCCATGAACTGAGTAGACCAGAGGCCACAGCCTCCAGGTGCTAAGCATCCAGTTTGTAGCGGTCTCCAAGGCAGTGGTGATTGGGCACATCTCCCCAAGATACTCCGCATGGGGGATCCAACCTCAGCCCTGGGCAGAGGATAGTGGTGGTACAGAGGGCCGTGTGGGGTCCCCTTTACCATTATGACCAGGTCTCGTCAGCCACCATGCCTTCTGACTCCCGGTCTTCTAACTGTAGGTAAAGGCATCGCCCGGCCTTGGAAACTTGTGTACTATCGAGCAAAGAAAATATTCGATGTCAATAATTACAAAGGCAGGTAAGAAAAAGTCCTAAAGCTTGAGCTAAAACTTGTCTCTAGTCCTGGCTGACATTACAAAGCAGAATATCTGAGTACTAGATGAGAGTTTAAAAATCATGAAGCTTTTTACATTGAAGCCAGATGGTGAGTGTGTCTGGGTATGTCTTCAAGGCCCACTTCAGCTGCCAGCTCTTTAATAAATCTTTTGTTATCTTCTCTTTCCTAAATTCTCAGCTGTGTCTTTACACTTTGGTTTTAGCACTCAGCACACTTGTTTTCTCTGCTGTGTTATAAGCTCCCGGTTTCAGAACTTCTTTCCTAAAGTGATGTTCCTTTCAACCTTGGCACAGGGCTTTGGAGTTTTAGTAGATGTTTACAGGTAGAAGTAAAAACTAGTATTAGATCTTTTAAGTGCAGTACAGTACTATCGATGCCGAGTCCTAATGTTTTTCTTACTTTTTCCTCCCTTCTCCCCAAATAGAATTCACAATTATAGTTTGTGTCCAGTGTTCCAAAAATTTTTAAAGAAAACATAGAGATAAGCGTTGGCTATGGGTAATCTTTTTGTCTAAGGACAACAAAATAAGCAAGAAGGAAGCTGTTAGCTTCACTTCCCAGGGCCCCCAAATCAACTGTAGGCTCCAGTACTTGACCTCCCCCAGGAGGCAGGGTTAGGAAATTTGGTGTCTGCTGACTTCACTTAGAAACATACTACCTAAATTTCCAACTTAGCTATGACCTTCGTTTCTTTCCTTAAACCTTTACAAAAAGGAATGAGCTTGGGTGAGGAGAGCTCCCACACACAGACAAGACCTGCCCTGTCCTTTATCCCAGCCCCAAGGTGAGAGTTGTGAATAGAACATTAAGAAAGCTCACTGGAGATTACATTTTAGGGTTTTGGGTGATACTGGGATTTAAACCCTGGCTATGCTTGCTAGGCAGATGCTCTGCCTCTTGAGCCACTCCACCAGCCCTAAAGATGACATTTTAAATTTGACTTAGAATGCTTTTGGCAAATTAATGGTGGCAATTGGAGTCATCTCTCTACCTGTGAAATTAAGCACAGAATGAACTTTTTGGAATAGTGAAAGTTTTTCCTTGTAATGACTCAAGCTCATTCATTTATGCTGCAGTATTTGTTTTGTGGTGATCATTTACCCTTAGAGTACTTTCTCCAACTAAAGGGTTCTTCAACTATGATGCAATGTAAGAACTTTTATAAATCTCACAGTGTATCCCCCGTAAAACAATAACATGGTAATTAAAAAGCAGAAGAAAAAAAAAGATTTTCACTGCAAAAAACACAGGAAAGCAAAACAAAAAGCATAGGAAGTTAAAAACCAAAGAAAAAGTTCTAAGGCTCTGGGGTGTTGGTGGTCTAGGCATCACTCCCCGTGTTGTACACTGAATGTCTCTCTTCCTCTTTTCTGTTGCTTCAGTGATCTTTAAGGGGTTTGGGTTTGTTTTTTGTTTAATTTTAGGGAGACTAACTACCTTGAGAGGAAAACTAATAAAATCTTAGTTCTCTTTACCCATGGAGAGTAACCAGTCTCTGTTTACCATAGTGCATTTACAGAGGAATTTCTGAAAACTCTAGGATATTGTTGTCCTTAGTAGTTCTGGATCACAACCACAAGAAATTGCTAATATTTGACCAGACCTTCTTTTCTATTACCTTATAATATCATAAACCACCCCACCATTCTGTATTAAGGTGTCGGAGTCTTAGGAGGTCATAAAGATTGCTTTTTCTTCACTTAAATATTTAAGGTTTTTAATCTCAAAATCCATAGTGCTTCTTTGTTATTTTTGTAGGATTAATGCATTTTGAATCTCTTCAATGTTACATATTTGTGCTAAGCCACTTATGTGTTCACTGAACATCTGTTGTCTGTTGGGCATTATGGATGCCATTCAGCAGCCAACAAGGCCCCTGCCCTTGCAGACTTCCCAGGGCTGTGCCGTCCAGTGCACACCCCAGCCTCACCTGGCTGCTGGACACTTGAAATGTAGTTGGTCCAAATTGCAGTGTGCTGCAAAAGTAGAGCAAACACCAGATTTGGAAGGCCTGTTACACATTGAAGAATGTGGACTACCTCAGTACTTTTCATACTGATGATGTGTTGAAATGATAGCATTCTTAATTGGACAATATATTTATTTTGCAGTGCTGAGGAGGGAACCCAAAGCCTTGTACATGCTAGGCAAGTGTTCTACCACTGAGCCACATCTCCAGCCCAAAGAAAATAAACTCTTAAATTAGTTTCATTCATACTAAGTGGAAATGATTTTTCCCACATTAGACAATTTAACATATCGGAATGTTACATCACGTTGTTGAACAGCACTGGTCTGGAAGAGAGGACGTAAAGAAGCCATAGCTGCCTACCAAGGTCCCATTCCTGTAATCCTAGCTACTTGGGAGGCTAAGATTGGGAGGATCATGTTTCAGGGCCAGCCCAGGCAAAAAACATTTGAGAGACCCTCATCTAAATGGAAAGAAGCTGGGTGTGGTGGTATGCACCTGTCATCCCAGCTATAGCAGGAAGTAGAAAATAGGAGGATCGAGGTCCAGGCCAGCTTGGGCAAAAAGCAAGACCAACTCTAAAATAACCAGAGCAAAAGGGCTTGGAGGAGTGGCTCAAGAGGTAGAGCACCTGCTTAGCAAATGCAAAACCTTGAGTTCAAACCCCCAGTACTGCCAAAAACCCGAAAAACAAAAGGAGCCCTTAAATTGCAGGCTTTGACCAGTGCAGAAAAGAGAATCGCAGCAGGACCCTTCAGCCAGTGTCCAGGGCACCCCTGTCTGGAGGGCACCACTGCAGTCACTGTCCTGTTCGGTGGAGGAGGACCATTTCCATCGTGGGTACTAGGACAGCTCAGAGACTGCTCTGGCTGTGGTGAGGCAGCCAGACCTCTGGCAAGAGGTAGATTGAAAGGCAGCAGCAGGAGGTCAGGCCATTGGTTGGATGGGACTTGGGTTTCCTTATGGTCACATTCAGCTTTTCTCACAACTACAGTGTACTGCCATGAGAGTGCTGCTTCTAATCTTGTGCTCATTCAAACATGAGCACACTTAACTTCTCTCAGGTACAGTGAAGGAGATATGCAGAAGCTGAAGGCATACCATTCCCTGCACGGGAATGACTGGAAGAAGATCGGGGCGATGGTGGCCCGCAGCAGCCTCTCCGTTGCCTTGAAGTTCTCCCAGATCGGCAGTCGTAAGTGGCCTACCTCTCATGAGACAAGCCGGACAGGGTCATTCAGCCCGCTGTGGGCCAGAGCCCAGCGATCCCCGCAGGCCCGTCCTCGGAAAGCATGCCTGCATTTAAGCCTTTCTGTCTCGTTCATCTCACTTCCCCATGTTCTTCCAGAGAAACCGTGCACCCTTTGTTCACTAGTCGAATTCTGGCCACACTTCAGTTCAGTGACTTGCAACGTGACTGTGGTGGCAGTGGTGATGGTGTCACTGATGCTGTGGAAGCTGCCAGCAGGGAGCTTGGGCACAGGAGCACTTCCTCATGGTGGCCAGGAAGGCTTTGAGAGGAGGCATGCAGTTGGCGAGTTAAGAATCCAAAAACAGCATTGGTGACCTCTTGCCTCTTTTTCTCCTCTTTCATAAAGTTTCTTGGGTTATAATCTTCACATTAAAACATAGAAGTCTGCTTTGAGAAGGCAGTCCTTCCTTGGGGTGCTGTGGAGCACAGCTCACTCTAGCCACACAGGGAGTACTGTGCGGCCAGTTCTTCACATTTCCAACAAGGAAAATAAACAAATTAAAAAGAAAGAAAGAAAGAAAATTCAGCTGGGTGCTGGTGGCTCACACCTTTGTAATCCTAGCTACTCAGGAGGCAGAGATCAGGAGGATTGCAGTTCAAAGCCAGTCTAGGCAGATAGTTCAAGAGACCCTCTCTTGAAAAAACCCATCACAAAACAGGGCTCAAGTGTTAAGAGCACCTGCCCAGCAAGTGTGAGGCCCGAGTTCAAAACCCAGTACCGCAAAAAAAAACCATTGTTTTTGGAAATCTCTTGACTTTTAAATATTTATCCAAATTGCTATTGTGGGGAAGCATAACACTCCATGGGCCAAACCAAAACTGCAGGCTGCTGGCTTTCTGAGGACTCCATCATGCTTAGCATGGCTCTGAGTCTCTGGTGAGACAGGGCCAGCCGTAGGTGCCTTTGACACTCACCCAGCTTCCGGAATTCTCAGATTCTCAGGTCCTTCCACCATCAGGTACTGGGGTGGAGTCAGGGTGCCTATTGATGTCAGGCTAGGAACTCTTATGTAAGTAACACAAAGTCACTGGGTAGGTGTTTTTCCCCCCATTACATGTTTGAGAACCTGACAGTGTCATGCAGGAAATACTGTTCTAAGAAGAACAACTGTTTTGAAATTTTTGTTTTTAATTTTTTGGTTTAATAAATGACTTCCCCCACCCCATGTGGTGCTGAGTTTTGAACTCAGAGCTTTGTACTTTACCACTGAGCTATGCCTCCAATCACCAGATTTACTATTTAATAATTTCTGTCTTTGGGGGTTTTTGTTTTTTGGGTGTTTTTCGAGACAGGGTCTTACTTGAACTTGATCCTCCTGCCTCAGCCTCCCAAGTGCTGGGAATATAGGCATGTACCCTGCTGCCCAGCCTGGCTTTGGTTCTTAAAAAGAACCCATGGCCATGTCAGTAACTCCATTTTAATTTACCTGTGATTGTGTTTAATCATTTTAGGTTTGTTTAATCAAGATATCACCCATTGTTTTCTGAAAAGTACCTGATTTATCATTTTTTAATGTTGCGTTTGAAACCAAATAGATTAGCAACTGCAAGGCCATCTTTTTTTGTTTTTGTTTTTGTTTTTTTTGGGGGGGGGGTCTACAGAAACAAATCGTGGTACTTGGAGTAAGACAGAAACCCAGAAACTAATTAAGGCTGTTGAAGAAGTGATTCTAAAGAAAATGTCGCCCCAGGAGTTAAATGAGTTGGATTCCAAACTCCAAGAAAATCCTGATCATCGCCTGTGGATCGTTCGGGAAAAACTCTACAAGGGCATATCGTGGGTAGAAGTGGAAGCAAAAGTAGAAACCAGAAACTGGATGCAGTGCAAAAGTAAGTGGTAAGTTTTGAAGCTTCTTATGTAAATTTCTGTTTCTCTCCCTGTCACACTTTCTCTAATTTGTGTAGAGTGGGTGGAGAGGGAGGTTGCTAAGAATATCTACATAACTGCTCTGAAACACTTAATGTCAGAAATGCTCTTCTCTGTCCACTGCTCCCGCCGCTTCACTATCAGCATCTGATTTAAATGAGCTCTTTACTTACCCTCATCAGAGACACATGCAAGCTGCTGGTCTGAGGCGTCTCCCATGTGGGAGGGTGGCTAAAACAAGGTACTTCTCTGTTTGCAGCATTTAAGAAAACCATGTGAACCTAACACTCAGAAGCCCTGAGCCCAGCAGTGGTCAGGATAGCTCTGCCTTTTTTATTAGCTTTCTAGCTTGGCGGGTCCTGTGTCTTCACCTGTCATGCTGTTAGCTATGTTCCTCAGTACCACAGAGATCACTTCTGTCCTTGCCTGGATGTCCCACTAAAGCCTGACTTAAGCAGTGGTTCTTCATGCTGTTCACCCACATCTGGAGCACAGAGGCACTCAGTGATTCTTGAATATCAAATAAGAGTGAAATGTAGAGCCAAGCATTGTGGTACATGCACTCAGGAGGCCAAGGGGGAGCTCCAGTTCCAGGCCAGCCTGTGCTACGTAATAAGACCCTATCTCAAAAGACAACAAAACAAAAGAGTGAGATCCAGAGGAGGCATACTTTACATTAAAAGCAGGCTCCTAGATTATACTGTCTGTGTGTCTTTCAATTCTGCTGCGGGGTGTTCAGGGTTTTTGTTTTGGAATATAGGGCAACCCAGGTCCTTGAACTCGATCCAGCTATGTCTCCAGCCCTGTCTTTCTTATTTTAATAAGACTCCAGTCAGGGAAAGAAACCCTAAAGAACAGATAATGTTAGGGGGATAATATGGAGAAGCAGAGCCCTTTCTACCCTTATATTTTAGGCTAAAAAGTGGGAATGGGTTCTGAGCCTCAGCTGAGTGATGACGTCAGTGTTGGAAGGGAGAAGTGGTTAAGGGCAGTACTGTTGCAGAATCCACATAATAGGATAACATGCAAGATGTATTTTTTTTTTTCATTTTTCTTTTATTATTCATATGTGCATACAAGGCTTGGTTTATTTCTCCCCCCTGCCCCCACCCCCTCCCTTACCACCCACTCCACCCCCTCCCGCTCCCCCCCTCAATACCCAGCAGAAACTATTTTGCCCTTATCTCTAATTACAAGATGTATTTTTTAATGTGAAGAGAAAATTGGGAAACTTGAGCCCTGAATTTACATTTACCATGTCTGCATTGAAATGAGCTCAAAGTAAACACAGACGGCTATGAGAGAGAACAGTGCCATTGTCCTTTGTCGGGAGTGCGTGGAGAAGGGCTGATGGGTGCGCTGTTGGTCCAATTGGGACACATTTTGCTGTGAGGTCGGCCTTGGGTTAACTCTTGTAACTAGGTCAGAGCTTCCACAAGGACATCAGGCAGCCCTGGCCCCCAGCCCTTTGCTCAGCCATGAGCAGGATCATCAAATCATTTCTCTTACTAAACTTGCCCCATTCTGTGTTCTAAAAGGTGGTGGTGGTAACAAGAGCAACGTTTGACTGTTTTATTATTTATTCCTTCCCACTTCTTTTTCAAGTAGGTATGTTCTCGATGGTGGCGAATGAGTTGAAAAGTTACAAGTTGACTCCAGCTGGGTGCCAGTGGCTCACGCCTGTAATACTAGCTACTCCGGAGTCTGAGATCGGAAAGACCTCAGTTCAAGGCCAAATAGTGCAGAATAACTAGAGCAAAATGGACTAGAGGTGTGGCTCAGGCGGTAGAGAACCTGCTTTGTGAGTGCCTACTTTGCAAGCACAAAGCCCTGAGTGCAAACCCCAGGGCTTCTTTTGGTGGGTACCCAGACCCATCAAAAGAAAAAAATTAGCTCTGAATGAGGACAATTTGTATGAGAGGAATACTGGAAATTTTAACAGAAGAAAAATTTTTAACTGAAAGTAAACAATGTTTTTCTTTCTTTTAACATAGGATGGAAATCCTAACCAAGAGGATGACTAACGGGGGGCTTGTATACCGTGGAGTCAATGCTCTTCAGGCCAAAATCAACCTTATTGAAAGGTACAGAAATAGAAAGTAATGCTGTTTTAACTGGTTTCTCTCTAGCCAAGTGGTTAACACAGTAGGGACTGTGATGACATTGCACTTTCCACACATGTTGCGAGGGACATGTGACCTCTAAATCTGTTTACTTGTCCTAATGAGGATGATGGCAATGAGAAATTCCCTAATGACTGTACCCAGTCAATGTAGTTAATTTAGACTTTGACATTTTTACTGTGGATGTGAGCTATTTCTGTCCATTGGAAAATGGAGGCAGGAATTCAGACAGAGCCCCACTGCTCTGCAGCAAGTTTGCTGGTGTCACGGTTGCTTGGTCTTTGGTTTTGTCCTTGAGTTCCTGACCCATGCAGAGTCCTCCTGAAGTGTTCTGAGCAGGAGGAGATGTGGGCCTGTTTTGTGAAGCCTGCAAGTCTGGTGGGCCTGGACTCACATTAGCCAAGCAACAGCAAAAAGCAGCAGAGACCTCCAGGCTCTGGCCACTCTGCCCAGCTTCCCTCTCCCTGCCCTGTTCCGTGAGCCCTGCTTTAAGCTCACTGGTCTGCTTCCTGAGTCTCTGTACTAGTCTGGTTAGCTGTGCCTCCACTTTTTCTTCCCTGGTGGAGAGACAGCATAAACTAGCAGATCTGAGGATTGCATCTCAAGTCAGGCAGGCCTGGGGTCCAGTGTTTGTGCCACATGTTACTCATGACATCTTGAGCCAGTGACTTAGTCTCTCAGCCTCATTTCCTGGTCAGTAGAATGGGGTTGAACCTCCACAGGTGGTGCTGAAGGTTACTGTAAAGAAGTAGTGCACAGAAAGATGTTACACAGTGTCTGTCACGTAGTAAGGACTGGGTACACATGTGCTGTCACAGTGGGTCTGTGTTATTGACACATCTCAGTAACTCACTCAGTGACCTTGCATGTGTAATAAGGGGGCTGGACCAGGGCAAAAGCACTGGTGTCTTCCAGCTGTTACTATTCTGTGAGTTCATGAAGATGTATATCCTGCTGATTTTTCTTTTTTTTTTTCTTATAGACTGTATGAACTCAATGTGGAAGATGCTAATGAAATAGATTGGGAAGATCTTGCTGGTGCCATAGGGTAAGACTTGGTTGTTTAATAAGCTAATTAAAAGATAGACATGACTCTTAATAAATGACTACCCATCACATTTCAACAGGACTAAAATGCATGCTATGTATGGAATTGTGTATAAGCAGTAGTTAAAATTAATCGTGTTGGCAAGAAAATCAACTTGATGTAATATAGAGTAAAAATTAAGCTGGGCACTAGTGGCTCACACCTGTAATCCTAGCTACTCAGGAGGCAGAGATCAGGAGGATCATGGTTCAAAGCCAGCCCAGGCAAATAGTTCACAAGACCCTATCTTGAAAAAAACCCATCACTAAAAAGGGCTGGCAGAGTGGCTCAATGTGAAGGCCCTGAGTTCAAACTCTAGCACTGAAAAAAATAAGTTTTAGAGCAAACTACCTACAGGCTCTGAGCTGCTAGATCAATGAAAATTTTCATTTCACTCATTAATTAATTTCATACCATTAATTGGATATATTTTTCACTTTTCTTTCTGTTTGTTAGTTTTTGGTGTCATGTAGTTTGTCACACCCAAAATGCTTTTGATATAAATTTTAGGGAGAGCATAATACCTATAGCATCCACTTAGCCCATTTACTCAGTTTTCAAGTGAAAATAATTGTAATAGGGAAGCATGGCCATACAAGCAAATTGGCACTGGGAGGTGACAGAGGTGAGGTTGTAAATACTCTGCTTTAGTAGTAAGGAAGAAAATTATGTCAGTACCTACCCTTATCTAAGTCTAAGTGTTAGGAAATCAAAGGCCCAGAATTAGTCTTGGTGCCATGTTTGAGCACCTGTCTGGCAGGCATTTTTTTAGGCTGTGAGACACAGAGCATTGAACAAAAGCCTAATTCTCCACCAGAGGAGTTTCTATTCTGTTAATACAAACCTAAAAACCCACAACAAAGTGTATTGGCAATAATGATGGTGCACTAACAAGAATTTACTTATCCTCTTCCTTTATACCAGGCACAAAAGGTAGTGGTGAAGGAGGACTCTAGCACTCACGTTCAGTTATAGCTGAAGGAGAATGAACAAATCAGCTGCTTCAGAACATGGGTACTAAAGGCCAAGTTCAGATAGGGTGGAAGAGATGGGTGGTAACAAGACATTTGTGTCTAGAGAAGGTGGAAAGACCACTGAGGAGGGGTGATGAATGGCAAAGCCTTAGCCAGGCTCATTTGAGGGGCTAAAAAGTGGCCAGTGTGGTGATGGCAGCGGTAGAGTGGGTGGGTCTGCCGGGACCAAGACTGCCACCCACTGCAGACACACTGAAGACTCCAGAACTGCAGGAGTCCCACTTCTTTCTCTCTGTGCCCAAAGTGGAGCTTTGTAAACTCATGGTTTCCGAGCTCAGTGGTTCTCAACCCAGCTTGCACACAGGAATCATCTTGGGAACCTTTTAAGAACAGCAGTGGGGCCAGTGAGGTGTGGAGCTTAGGTGTCAGTTCTGTACCTGCTCCCAGTCAATCTCACATGCTGCCAGTGCTTCTAGAACTGTATTCCAGTTAGAGATTTTTAATGGTGTGTGAGAATGCAAATATGGAATTGAACATCACACCCCCACCCATGAGGAAAATGGACTTGACTTTGTGCTTGGTTTTATGTTTCACTTTTTGAAAAGGAGATGGATTGCATGGTCCACAGTTAGAGAAGAGCCCCTCCTCCCACACTGCTCAGCCTGGTGTTTCACGCACAATGGCTGCAGGGTCTGACCCAAGTTCTCATTTTGCTAGCTAATGCTGTTTATTCACATCTCATCTCCCCCTTCCCCATGAACAAGAGTAACCAGAGACTTTTCAAAGAACCAGCTGCCAGTGTGCTGATCCTCTTCAATCAATGTCTGTATGTCTCTCTCTCTCTCTCTCTCTCTCTCTCTCTCAACAAGGTTTTGCTGTGTAGCCTAGGCTGCCTTTGTACTCAGATCCTCTGGCCTCAGCCTTTCGAGTGCTGGGATTATAGCTGTGTGCCAGGACACCTGCTTCTTTTCTATCCTTCCTGCAGCTCTTTTTGAATTTATTTTGCTTGTGTTTTCAGCTTCTTGAGATGGGTGCTTGGTTCCTCTTTTGTTTCAGTTCCTTCCTAATACACATTTAAAGTCACATGTTTTCCTCTAAGTTCTGGTGTATCAGCAGTGCCTTCTTTTTTTCTTAGCTTTTCATCAGGAAAAGTTTAGACATAAAAAAATTGGACCCCTACGCCTTCATCACCCCTCTTCAGTGACTGTTAGCATCAGCCAACCTTACTAAAATTCTGCATCCACTCCTTGAATTTTTTTTTGGTAGATTTCCCATACTTAATAGCCTTGGTTCCATTCAAAATTCAGGTATTCCCTTTGAGTAATTCCATTTGGAATTGAGTTAAAAAGTTGAGAATAGATTCACACATAAGTGAAGTAACTGTTATGCAGAACAATCTGAAGTAGTGTTTTTACTAGAAAGCCAACTGCCCACTGGTAGAGTGCTGGCCAAATAGGTGTCTGCCTGTATAATGAAATCCTCTACAGCTCAACACAGGGTGAGAAAGCTGTTAAATGACGGTGCGCAGAGAGCTCCGGGTATAGTCTTAGGTGGGGGACACAGTGCGGAACAGCGGTTGATACACTAGTGTTACACGAACACATAAACGTGTGTTTTTGAAACCTCCACTCTGTATACTGTGTACGGGTAAATCACACCAGTCCATCCCCACTGGTGAATGACGTGTGCAAAGTCTTGTAAAAGCTTCAGAGCTAGCAAGTTGTAAAAGCAATACAAAGGACCCCCATGCCCTTCACCCATAATTAGCCATCATTAACATTTTGCCACATTTGCCTTCTCATTCCTCTTTCCTTCCTCCAAGGATGTCAGGCATGTTTTTATAATCATTTGATAGTTAGTAATAGATCCCATGTGCTGAACAAGGATGTCGTTTATATGAGGATAGTATAATTAAGCATCAAGAAATGCAACGTCATCACAATACCGTGCTCTGAAATATACTCCAAGCCCCGTGTTGTGGCACTGGCCTGTAGACCCAGGTACTTGGGGTGCCCAGGCAGGAGGAGCTCTAGAGCCCATGAGTTTGAGGCCAGTCTGGGCAACAATGAGATCCTGTCTCAAAATCAGTCATACAATCAATGATCATCCACACTCAAATTCCTCCACTTGTCCCAATGATATCCTTTATAGCATGTTCCTTGAGACCTGAGGTCCAACCCGGAATTACACATTGCATTTACTTGCCATGCCTCCTTAGTGTCTTTTAATCTGGAAAGTTCCCTTGCCTTTGTCTTTGATGACAAATTGGAAGAATTCAGACTATTGTTTTGTAGAATGTACCTCAGCTGGCGTTTGTCTGATGCTTCCTCTGGATTAGATCTGGATTGATTGTCTTAGTCAGTGTGGTGTCTTTCTCACTGCATGCCAGCATGGGGAACGTGATTCTTGTTTGGTCATTTGGCTAAGATGGCAAGGCATCTGCCACCTGAGAGAACTGGGTTTCCCCAGGTGATTGGAAAGGCTGTGGGAGACATCCAGAGACCCTGTTCCTCTTCAAGCTTCTTTCAGTAGTCTGCATGTGTTTCTCCCATGTTTCTCATCTGAGGAGCAAGAGTGCTCTGACTGCCCTCTTTCACTAGCTCTCTGTTTACTCACACTGTGAGCCTTTGCTGCATAGTTTCTGCATTTCCAGACACTTCCTGCTGTTGACGAAAAAGGCCAGTACTCTTGTTATCTGAATTTGTTGCTCTGTAAGCAAGAAAGGTTCCTCTAAACAAAGCAGATTGTTGAGTTACGGGGCTCAGGGGCTGTCAGACTTTCAGCAGATGTTGAAGGATGGGTTGGTCTTTAGCTCTACACAGGGAATGGTGTAGTGAGGCGCTGCGCCCTGGCTGATGGGCAAAAGTGTGGCTCCTGGTGGAAGCTGCCATTTATCCATCAGCAGAGGTTGAGCTGGTTCTGGTGGTCGGTTTACCATGTGGATTGCCACCAAACAACAACCCACCTTTCTCTTTCTTAATCTTGGAGATTTGGGGTCTTTTTATGAATCATGGCGACAGGCTGTGGCCCCGAGCACTTTCTCTTCTGGTTCACCTGAGGGGTGGACACTCACTCTTCAGGATCATGGGTCCCTGAGAGCTGAGGGCATCAGTGCTTTGGAGGAGTGCCCCTGTATGCACCCCATCACCTTCCCCGCTTGAGGATTCATGTCAACAAAGCCCTCCCTTTACACTTTGTATTTTAAAAAAACAAAAAACTGATGGCTTTATTATTTGTTTTTGTGGTACTGGGGTTTGAACTCAGGGCTTTACACTTGCTAGGTAGGTGTTCTCTACCACTTAAGCCACTCCACCAGCCCTCAAGCACTTTTTAAATACTTGACATTGGTACTAGATTTTTGTGTGCCTGTGGTGTCACTTCAGATCACAGTTTTTTATTAAAATGGGCTCTTTTATGATTTCAAGTAAAATCTGTTGTTAGCTCTATTTTGGTGCTAGGAGTAGAACCCAGTGCCTTGCACATGCTAGACAAGCACCTGCCTTTGCGTTGTGATAAACAGGAATGTATCTGCAGGGTAGTGGGCAAGAGCGTAGATCTGGAGGCACAGCTCTGCTCTTAGGTGCACCTCTGCTTCCTCATCTCCAGATCAAGAATAGTGGCTCCCTCTTCAAGTGCTCGTGAGATCATTCATTAGTGTGCTTGGAGTCCTTGGGTGGGGCCAAGTACAAGACAGGCATCAGCACGTGTTGGCTTTGTTACACTTTGTCTTCTCAAATAATAAGTTAAATCATTCTAATTTAAATCTCTGCTACCAGTTTTCTTTCTTTGTTTTTGATTTTTTGATATTAGGGATCAAACCCAGGGCTCCATGCATGCTAAACACACCCTCACTGATCACCCTTTTTTTTTAACCAAACGAACAATAGCAGCAATAGGTTTTTCATCTTATTTCTATCACTCATTTATGGACACGATGATGTCATGTTCAGGATGACCTCATCTTTAAAAATGTACTTATTAGCTGGGTACAGTGGCTCAAGTCTGTAATCATAGCTATTCAGGAAGCAGATATTGGGAAGATCATGGTTTGAGGCTAACCTGGGCAAAAAGTTCTCAAGACCCCATTTCAATCAATAAAAGGCTGGGTATGGTGGTGCATGCCTGTCATCCCAGCTTTGTGGGGAAGCACAAATAAGATTGCAGTTGAGGCTGGCCCAGGCATAAAGTGAGACCCTATCTCAAAAATAACCAAAGCATAAAGAACTGGGAACATGGCTAAAGTGATAGTGTGGCCTGCCTAGCAAGTGTGAGACCCCCAGTACCACACTGGGGTAAATTTTTAACTGACATTCTTTATGTTTTCCTTTCTAAAGTGACGTGCCTCCATCTTATGTTCAAACTAAATTTTACAAGCTGAAGGCTGCCTGTGTTCCCTTTTGGCAGAAAAAGACTTTTCCAGGTCAGTATTGCAAATATTTGCACAGTTAAGCACAGTGTGTGGTGCCTCATGCTGGCTGTGTGGTTGACTTCTTGGAACCTCAGCTTCACCAATCCAAATGTGACTATCGACAAGCTATAGGCTACCTGACAGGACTCTCAAACAGACTGAGTGATGACAACTGTGTAAACTGTGGCGCTCCTCGGAGAGTGGCCGGTGCTGCCCGTGCTGCTGCCCATGTGCCTGTGTGCACGCAAACCACGTGCCCACAGGCACACACCACCTCACACACACCTCCAAAGGGAGTTTAGCATGTCCCTGTCCTTCTTTGTAGCCATTTATGGGGGTCAGACATGTAAGTCCAAAACTCGTGTTGTCAGCACCATGGGGGAGCTTGTTAAAAAGTAGCATCCTGGGCCTCATCCCAGACCTGGGCCCAGGTTGAGACCAGAGTCTGTAACAAGCTCACAGCCACAGCTCCTGCAGTCTGCCCGGAAGCACAGGTCAGAGGACACTGTCCCCTGAAGGGTGATGACATTGGACTTCATATTCAGCAGATATCACTGCCTAGGATTGCATCCCTGTAACCCCGTGACCTTGGCAAGCTTCTTAAGGTCTTTTATGCCTCAGTATCTTTATTGAAAAATGGGTTAAAAGTAGTGTCTGCTTACACCTGCCTAGCAAGTATGAGGCTCTGAATTCAAGCCGCAGTGCCTGCCTCATAGGATTGAATAAGAAAACAAGTAAACGAATCATAGTATCGTCAGAATCTTATATCCTTTGACCTTGAGGTTTTAGACAAGTGATTTCAAGATTGAACTCCTTTCTGTAGAGATCATCGACTACCTCTATGAGACTAGTCTGCCTTTGCTTAAAGAAAAGTTAACAAAGAAGATGGAGAAAGAAGGCACTAAAATCCAGACTCCCTCAACACCCAAGCAGGATTTCCTGTTTAAAGACATCTTTTACTGCGAAGACGACAGTGAGGGAGAAGACATCTCAGAACAAAGTTAAGTTAAGGTTACTATTTGTCCTTTTTCTTTCTTTGGTTGCATTTTTATACGTTTTGTGTTAGCTTATCACTTCACTACGACGAAGTACCTGAGATAATCTTATAAAGAGAAAGGCTCATTTTGCTCAGAATTTTGGATGTTCTATTCCATGATCCATGGCTTTGGGCCTGTGGCAAGGCAGCACATTGTAGCTAGAACACATGGCAGAGAAAAATCCCTCACTTCATGGCTAGAAAGCAAAACAGAGCCAGGTGAGGGCAACCCATAATCCCCCTCAGAGCACACCCCAAAGTGACCTGAAGTCTTTCCAGTGCGCCCCCCCCCTCCTTCTTAACCACCCTGGGGACCCAGCCTTTAACATGGGGCCTTTGGGGGACACACCAGCTCCAAACATTCGCAGGTAAGGAAGCTCTTTTCAGTACTGGTGCTTAGTACAGAATGTGCAATGACCAGAGGAACGAGCCTAAAGTAGCTTCCACTGAGGAGCATTGAAAATGTATTAGCATTCATCCTAAAGCATGCTTGAATGTGAGAGGAAAGCATGTGAGTTGATTTTGATATTTTATATCCTTACGTTAAAAACAACCACACTTAGGAGCCCATAAAACCAAATTGCAGCAGAGAGTAGAGTGGCATCCTGCGAACCTTTCAGTACGTGGGTTCCACTATTTGCACACTTGGCAAAAAGGAGAAGGTTGAGCGTCTTTGTAACGTGCGCCATTGTGCCTGTTCTTCCAGTGCTAGGTGTGTGTTCACTCAGTGCGGCTAACCTCAGATGGATGTGTGGATCTGCTGTGCACCTCATCTTCCTGACTAGGCGGCCTTGGCCACATGACTGCATCTCACCTACGGTGTCCCTCAAGGCAACTCTGTCGGTGCTTGGCTGCTTCTCTGTTGTTTGTAGAAGAACTGGCTCCATTAGGCTCATTGAAAGAGGCCATTGGTCTTGGGCACAACTCCTGTTGAAGTCTGTCTGTCTGACACATACACACACACACACACACACACACACTGCTTTTTCTCTACTATTTGAGCCACACCCCAGCCCTCCTGGGTACTTTTGAGGCTCCTCTGTCAGTCAAGAAGTCAAAACTACTACAGATACTTCAAACAAAGCAGAACTTACTATATGGATTTAAGTCACATAGATTGCCAAATGGCAGGCCAGGCATGGAAGCTCACACTTGTAATCCCAGTTACTCAGGCAGAGATTGGTTAGGATTGCAATTGGAGGGCAGTCTGGGCAAAAGTTAGCGAGACCCCATCTCAGCAAACAAACTGGGTGTGGTGGAGCACATCTGTGATCCCAGCTATGTGGGAAGGGGTTGGGGGAAGTTCATGGTCCACATCTGGCTCCCAGTGAAAATCATGAGACTGTGAAGGACTAGGAGTGAGGCCAAAATGGTGGAGTGTTTCCTAACAAGTGCAAGGTGCAAGGCCCCATGTTCAACCCCAGCACCCCCTCCCTCCCTTCTCCCTCCCCTCCCCCCTCTCCCTCCCCTCCGCCCTTCCTTTCCCCTCTCCCTCCCCTCCCTAACAAGTGCAAGGCCCTGTGTTCAATCCCAGCACCCCCTCTCCTCTCCCCCCTCCCCTCCCCTCCCAAAACATTGTTAAATTGAAGCTGGGTGAGGTGGTGCATGCCTGTAATCCTCGAGCTCAGATGAGGCAGGAGGATCACAAGTCTGAGCCCAATCTGGGCTACACAGTAAGTCTGTCTCAAATTGTTAAAGTGATGAAGGAAGGAGCCAGCAGGGAAGAGTGAATAGCTCAGAGACTGCAGAGAGGCTGCTGTGGCCCCTGCATGGCTGCCATTGGCCCTGTGTACCTCCTGGCTTCGTCTGCCCCATAACTCCCAGGCTGTCTCCTGCTGCCGCCCTTGCAGTGGCCTTGCTCCCGTGTCCCTTCACCAGTATGTGCCTCCACCCTCCACCGGAGCCTGTGTCTCCAGGGGACACAGCAGCTTCTGTCCCTCCTGCCTTTTTATCTCTCACGGGGCCACCCATTAGCAGAATCCTGTTGCAAGGTAGTCTGGGAAATTGAGTGTTTAGGCTCCCGGGCCTGTCTGCAGAGGAGAAGGAAAAAGGAAGTGTGGCTTACGCTCTGCACAGCGAGGTCTCGCGCTGTTCATCTAGCACCGCAGGATGCTGGCTAGTGAGTCTGCCACTGTGGGGAAGAGCACAAACAAGTTGCAGGAGTCTCTGCCACTGTGTCCCCAGCAGCTCTTGCAGGGCTGCTCAAAGAACAGACAGTAACTATTCAGTAAATAAGTGCATCTCTCCTCTGCAAGCACCTCTCCCCCACTCAGCTCTGTGCTAGTAGTCCAATTAGGAAAGCGGTTTGGTAAGATACACCAAAACTTAAAGAATGTACAGATTTTGTGACCAGTGATTTTACTTACAGGAATTTGTCCTAAAGGAATAAAGAACTAATGTGTAAAATGCCATGTTTATAATAGAAAATAGAAAAGGATAAATGTTCCTCAATAGGAAATTTGTTAAATTATGGTGTATTTCTAAAATGGAATATTATGTGGTAATTAAAAATGATAATGATAGATTTGGTTGACATAAAAATATTTTAACTGAATATTTCAGAAGAGTATATGTATTTTCTTGATTTTGTAAAAGTGATAAAAAAAAATAAAGGAAATTGATTGTGTACACAGATGCTTTGAAATGTATGAAATGAACCCAGAACGTGGACAGTGGTTCTGTCTGGTGGTTTATAGACTAGAACTCTTGATTGCAACTGCTAGACAGTCGAACTCAGCCCTGGGGATCCCGAACTCTAAGAACCAAGAGTCTCTATGAGTGTTGCTGGTTTTAAGTAAGGGTTCCTTCAGCTCCTCAGAGCCCCAAGGTGTGGTTCTGGACTGTTTCCCTACTGTTCATCTGCAGAGGACAGCCCCTTGGCCCCAAGTCTGCCCCCCTGAAGCCACACGTCAGCAACTCGCCCCTTCAGAAGAAGAAATGGTCTCTTGAGTAGCTCCTGTGAATCCCAGCTGCTGTCCTCATACCCAAGTGACAGCTCACACCCAGCAGAACCAGAAGGGTGGGATTGGCTCCAACTCATGGGCTCAGCTTGGAGCCAGGTTTAGCTGAGGTCCATGTCACAGTGGGCAGTCAGGGTCCCATTGGCAGAAAAAGGGGTGAGTGGACTCTGAGGAAGGAACCCACACTATGCATGCAGGATGGTGGGTGATGACTTGAACCATAAAGTTTACCTAATAAGCTTATGTACTTTGAGAAAGTTTTATTTATATAACTTTTTCTCATGCCTCTGTCCTCAAAAAAAGCAAGCCATACAGATCTTAGTTTTGCCAATCACCCTTCTGACATAAGACTCCAGGAATCTGGAAGAAAAAGCACCAGTTTGTGTGTGTGTGTGTGCGTGTGTGAAAGTAAGGTTCAGGAGCCACAGACTATGGGGTCCTGCGAGGCACTTCTGCACAGACTCGCAGTCCATGGGAGAGAGGATGGGCCAAGGGATGACTGAGTTGCCTCCATGAAGATTCTGTGACAGCCCAGTCTAGAGCGAGAGAGGCAGAGAAGGAAGCCTCAAGCAGCACCTGTGCTTGGGAGGAAGTGGAAGGGGTGTACCCTCAGAGTGAAGGAAGGAGGTAAAAGACAAAAACCACACCCAGCTCGCAGGAAGCAGATAGGAACAACAACCAAAAAATGTTTTTAAGCAGTCTTGACTACGTTATCTGAGTTCTTGATCACTGCACCTCAGTAGCTGTGCATCTTGGCTTTCTCCTCACTTCATCCTCCACCAGCCAACAGTCAGGCCTGAGACTGCAGCAAGTGTAACAGGTCAAAATCAGTGTCTCAGACCAGACACCCCTCCCTTCACAGTGTCTCTTCAGTTTAACAAACCGGGGGTACCTGCAGTGAGCCAGGTCCTCTTGGGAGCTGAGGGCACAAGAGGCATACAAGCTGCCTGCTTTCTTGTCCCTCTACCCACTCCCAGCTTCCCCAGAATGTCAGTGGCCTGTGACTACAGTCACCCTTTTCTGCACATCCTCCATCCTTGTGTCCTATCTTTCTTGTTCAAGATCTCAAGCTGGGTGAGCACAGCCACTTTCCTCCTGCCTGCACCTGAAAAGCTGAACACTCCTAGAAGAAAACCACAACTGAACTGGCTGGTTTCACAGTAATGGTGGCAACAGCCTCCAGTGGACCCTGGTCATTACCAGAGGGTCCACTGTGACCCTAGAGGTTTGCTTTTTGTTTCCCTACCTCAGCTGCTTTGCACACTCCTGCCCTATTCAGAGTTCACTGGGAAGACTGAAGCCGTCAGTCGTCAAGTCCTGCTTGCCTCCACCAACCAAAGAACTTGGCCCACACCTCAGCTGAGCCCTGCACCTGAGCCCTGCAGTCCAGACTCACATTTTCTTGGAGATTTTGATCCTGCGCTGACCCCTCTGGAATCTTCACCACGGTGTAGAGAAGCCCTTGCATCACTGATCGCATGTATACATGCATGAAATCAATTCTGTGTGTAGAACCAACCGGCGATTTGTGCTAAGCCCCTCCCGAGGCACCCAGCTGGGAAAGGCTGGCGTTCTTTTGGGGCTGGGTTTGGGACTTTCTTCATATTCACCCCATCCACTGAACTAGCATCCCTATGTTCATGGTTCCCAAATACGTAGCTGTGAGTAAGATTCTCCAGTGAACTCCAGTCACCCACACCCCTCCCAATTTGTCACCCACCTCCAGGCTTCCTCATCTTTGCCAGTGATACCGTTCACTTAGTTGCTCCTTCGTTTTGTCCTTTCCCCAGTCCTTCCACAATCAGGCTGTTAGCAAACACCATCAAGTCTACCTCCAAACACACACCTGGGACTTTATTCACCTCCACCTCCGCCTTCTGTGATCTCAGACATCAATCTCTGAACTACACTGCCCTCACTGTTGGCCCTTCTCCCAGCCACACTCTCCATATCTGCAAAACATCATGGCCCAACCCTGTTCAGAGGCTTGAAATGGCTTTCCACTGAGCTTTGGGATGACATTGAAAACCTATGTCATAGTCACTACAGAGTGTCTGCAATCTGCCATGGCTTGTCTTCCCATCTGGCCTTGGGCCCTCTCACACTGGGTCCTGCTGTTTGAATGAGTGAGGGAAGGAAGGAAGAAAGAAATGGCAGTGTGTTAGCCAACTTTGTTCATTGTGTGTTTAGTGACATGGCCAAGACAAATCAATCTGCAAGGAGGAAGGGTTCATTTTGGCTCATGGTTTCAGAGGTTTCAGTCCACAGCTGTGGCCCTGAGGAAGGTGTGGTAGAGCAGGGCTGCTCACCTGATCGAGCTGGGGAACAGCCTAAGGAAAGGGCCAGCGGAAAAGGTAGCCCCTTCCACGACATGCCCATAATGGCCTACTTCCTCCAACTAGACCCCACTGCCTAAAGTTTCCAATATCTAGTAATGTGATCAAATTGTGAATACAAGCCAGGTATGGTGGTTCATCCCTATAATTACAGTTACTTGGGAAAAGATAAGAGAATCAAGGTTTTGGGGGGGGGGGGTTTGGCGGTACTGGGGCTTGAACTCAGGGCCTTCACCTTGAGCCACTCTGCCAGCCCTATTTTTGTGAAGGGTTTTTTGAGATAGGGTCTCATGGAACTGTTTGCCCAGGCTGGCCCAGGCTGGGTTTGAACTGTAGTCCTCCTGATCTCTGCCTCCTGAGTAGCTAGGATTTATGGGCCTGAGCCACCTGCGTCCAGCAAGAATCAAGGTTTGAGGGAAGCAAAAGCAAAAAGTTAGTGAGACCCTGTTTCAAAAAACAATGTTCAGCTAGCAGCTGGGCACTGGTGGCTCATGCCTGTAATTTTAACTACTTGGGAGGCTCAGATGGGGGCGGGGGGGGTGTTGAGGTTCAAGACCAGCCTGGGCAAATAGTTTGTGACACCCCATCTCCAAAATAAGCACAGAAAAATGGACTGGAGTGTGGGTCAAGCTGTAGAGCACCTGCTTTGCAAGCACGAAGCCCTGAATTCATACCCTAGTCCCTTCCCCACCCCCCCAAAAAAAAAAACACCAAAATGAGCAGGGCTTGTTGGTACATGCTGCGTCCCAGCTACTCAGAAGGTAGAGGTAAGAGAGTCTTGTTCTGAGGTCCACCCTGGGCAAAAGACCCCATCTGAAAGACAAAAAGGACTGGGGGCATGGCTCAAGTGATAGAGCCCTTGCCTAGCACAACCTAGTACCAAAGGGAACCCTCGTGATCAAATCACCTTCCCAAAAGTTCATTGGGTGGTAACCCACCCTTCGGGGGACATTTTTGATCCAAACCATAACAAGCAAAAATTGCCTTGTGTTTGCAGGCGCTGTTTCTTGGCTGGAACACCATGACAGTTTTGCAAGGCCAACTGTATTCAGGTTTCCAGTCAAGTGTACTTTCCTTGCAGAGAGATTTCCTGGCCTCCCTAGTGCAGAGCACACCCATCACTTGACACT